ATCCCTCACAGTTTAATCTAAAAGTGAAGTTTCTACAGAAACAAACTCTTAAAAAGGAAAAAAAAAAAAATCCTCATTCGATCTCTCTGTAATGAGTGCGAACTGTAGTGTTTAGAAAACCACGCGATCACCAAGTTTGTTTTAAAACTGAGAAGTCTGAAATCCAGAAAGCAAATGAAAGTGGGTTATTTCTTCCATTTTCTTTTTAGTAAAAGATTCCAAAGCAAGTATGGCACATTAATAACTCAAGCATAAATTGTGATGGAGAGCCTGGAGAAGTTTTGATTTCCTAGATTTTCCCAAAAGCAGCTAACATTACAACAAATAGGATTTCTTCCTTATTTTAACCTTGCCAATTATATCATAAAGGGGTAGAACACATCACCATCACATTCTCTCTCTCTCTCTCTCTCTCTCTCTCTCTCTCTCTCTCTCTCTCTCTCTCTCTCTCTCTCTCATACACACACACACACACACACCGTCAGGGCCTAACAGCATCAGACCCTTCCTACCACCTAAGTCTCACTTCAGTTTTACTAAAAAACTGCAGAATTCCCCATTGGTTTCCCGTTACCTGGTGATTTCTGTGACCCTAATTGCTGCCATCATTGATATTTCCTGTATTTTAGCACAGCAAAGGTCAAGAGCAGCTTCAAAGTCAGGAGCATGTACCCAAACACCTGCAGCACTGCAGGGACCTAGTGACAGCAACTGCTAAATTCAGGGATCAAACTTTTGAGTTCCACAGCGAGACATAACTCCTGTGAAGCTCAGAATCATGCTTCAGACCATTGAAATTGCTGGTTAAAATACAAACAGCTGAAGACATGACGTAAAAGATTAAGTACTTGGTTTTGTTAACATGTTTATCGATTAAAGTCACAAGGTGTTTCTCATTATAATTCATGCAGATTATTGAGAAAAAAGATAGTGCAGAATTAACTTTAAATAAAAAATTATTCCTCCCCATCCTCCCACTTCCCTATATTCTACAAAATATTTTCCCTGGGACTAGGCCTTGAAAAGGCCACTACATATTAGTGTGACATGCATTATTGTCTGTAATTAAAAAAGCTAACTTTGTGGTGACTGTAATTATATTATAAAAATGTCCGCATGCATAAGTCTAAAAAAGGTTGAAAACCTACAGTAAATCTATAATAGAATGTTTTACATTTGACCACTGTTTGTTATATATAAGTCATAGATTTGGTAAAGCATTGTAACAATTTAGGAAGGCATCTAAATCTTTAAATTCTGGACGGATTTTGTTTTAAACTACAAAACTGCATGAAAGCTAACCCGAAAGACTTCCTATCATTCTAAAATTCCTCAAGTGGGACTAAACATTGTAGGACCTTTCTGATAAATACCACCCTTTGAAAGCACATACAATTCCATATGTTCCATACTTTATGATCTTAACTCTTCATGGAATATCAAATATGATAGGAAGACAAACCTGAGAGAAACGTTTACAATGCAACAGCAGAACTTGCTAAATTAAATGCTTCATCAGCGCCTTCTTAAAAACCCCCTAAGCCTTTCTCTTCTTTATTTTAGCAATGGATTGTGGAAAACGTGCAGTTTCACCTAGACATGAAAATACTTCTTGCCTGCCAGGTTTAGTACTGCTTGGGAACTCAAACACAATTCTTCATCCTGCAGTAAAGGTCAGGACAAGAGCAGCACGCTGGGAGGGCACAGCTGATTCAGAGTTGCTGCATCTGAAGGTTTTCAGAGGTTGGCGCGTTTTTCCCTCCTGACTGTGTATCCAGTTTCTTCTCACAGCTTAAAAATCGTAGGGGGTGTTAACAGTTGTTTGTAGGAAGTTTTGTTTTTCTCCAGATTCAGTCCTGTCTCTCCTCAGTTTGCTTCTCTATGCAGTGTTCGACTTGCTCAGTTCCTGCCTGATTGCTGTAAGGAAAGGAATGGTTTTCAAAGTCAATACACAAGGAAAGAGATACAGATGATGATTTACTCCTGAGAAGGCTGTTCAAACTGTCATAAAAAGATACAAGATTTAAATCTTCATTGCATACACCTTAATACCACAAAGATTCGAATCACATGTGATTATATTTACTAGGTCCTCCCTTGAATACAGAAGACAATGAGTAATGTTTTAGTGAGAAATCTGCCTGACTGGTTTCCACCAAAAACTACACTTGACACTTAGAAATGATGTTTATCTCTGTGAATTCAAGAACAGCTCGGTCTACAGAGAGAGTTCCAGGACAGGCTCCAAAGCCACACAGAGAAACCC